GAGGGGGGTGTCTGTAAGTAAGTTAAGTAAGTCGAAGTAAGTCGAAGTACTCTAAGAAAATGCAGTACTGAAATAATCAATTTGAGCCTCGTCGATCTATCAAGGCAGTCATCCTTTAAGCGCATTGGGAAAGGGTTTATATTGAGCATTCCTTCTTAACATCTTATCACTCGACGTCTAGTCCCGTGGTGTCGTATTGGTGGGCTCTGCTAATTGGTCCATAAAGGAAACTTGCTTATCTGGTCGATTAGAGCTTAAAATCCCTCAGTAGCTGACTTAGGATAATGTTCAAACTTTCTTGGCATAGTTGACATAGGTGATTAGTAAAAATTTTTATCTGTCTGTGTTTTCTTATGTGAGAGGTTTTAATTTTTCTCATTCATAGTAAACGGTGTTATTACCAAGAAATGGCGCCCAAAGTTCAAATAACGGGATAAAGAAATACAAACAAACTGGCTTATTAAATGGAATAGTAACACATACATCATAATGCGAAGGCGTCAGTTGGATTGTGTAAACTTCTAATTTATTTTATTTTATTTTATTCTTTTGGTTTCGATTTCGATTTTCAATAAGAAATCGAAACCAAACTCATGTTTTCCGGTGAATAATCGGATATTTAAAAGACTTTATTATCCCTAAGAGAATAGGTGAGCGGCGCTTATTGTTAATCCTCTATTAGCCATTCCAAGGTTGAGGAAGAACAGGGTCGAGTTGGTATTGCAGTGCATTGTGGTTCTGTTTTAGGGAACAAATTTCAAGATGGCGCCTATTTCGCCCCTTAAAACAGCCCCACAATGCATTGCAATGCCAACTCGACCCAGTTTCTTTTTTTAACCTCGGAATGGCTAATAGTAACGCCAGTTCAAGTTTATTCTCTTTGTTTTCAAGGACTTATATTTTAGCTTTGAAACCTGGAAAATATTTTAGCTACTTTGCTGGCAACTTTGAATTTCAAAATTATTCGTTTTTCAGTCAAAATATTATTTTCATTCCAGAAACATTTATGAAGGATTTTCGCAACAGCCATGTGTTGAAGCGAGAGCAATGCAATAATATTACATGAAATTAATTCACCTCCCAAAAGCGATTTTTYCCCCCTGTTTTACCCAGAACATGCCGTTAACCCCCTCTAAGCTTGTAAAGTTGTGTTTACAGTGAATAATTGGACCGTTTATTTTTGCCCTATGTCAACCAGACAGTATGGCTGTTTGTCGCCTTACTAACTCTGGTCTGTAAAGCTCCCTGTCGCCGGCCTAAGATTGCATGCGTTTTTTGATGCTTTGGCTTCACAGTGCCTCATGCCGCCTCTTATTCTCACCCATGCCGCCGTAGTTTGTCAAATTGACTGACCTGAGATTCAGCCAAAGGAGGTCATACTAAAGAGTGCCTCTTTTCTTTCTCTTTTCTCAAATGCCGAGTTCGTAGGAATGAATCTTTAAGTGCCATCATGCGAGTTGCGTTAAAAGCTATCTTTACTCGTTTTGAATCTCCAGTGTCATCGGACTGCATTGTCTCCTTAGATGAAGCCCAATTTTCCTTTCGATTCAGCTCAGGGGGGCAGAATGCGCACGCCCGCCCTTCTCGAGTGTCCTTAACTGTTATATCGGTAACTGAGCAGAACATTTCAAATTTGTCGCAATCCTCTTAATTATAACAATTTTTTAAGTCAATAAAAGAGGATTATTCTTTTCCGTTTTACGGTTTCCAAAAGGTGCTTGTCGCGGAAAATTATTGGAAAACTGGCTTATAATGTTGCCTATAAGTGCATGCCAACTGGTTTTCAAACGCATTCGCTACAAATAGAAACTGTTTGTGACAAAAGATAGCCTATATATCGGCTCCACTGTAGATGACGCACATCATTGCCCTGGAGACACTTGGTTTCCCTTGTAACATTGAGATTATTCAAATATGGAAGAGAAGAGAAGAGAATAGTTTGGGGCTGGACCTCTTTACTGAAAATGTAACTTTGCAAATCGCGCCTTTTTATTTCTAAAAATCACGTTTTTTWAAATTTTGCCTACAATGTTCTACTTTTAGTTTAACTCCGCAGATTTAAAGTTAAATTTAATTTTAATACTCTTTTGGGATAAAGTAGAAAAAAACACTTTTCTGAGCCGAGATCAATAAATAACCTTAAGATAAATAATGTAAGCCTAAATCCTAAGAACATCCTTTATTTGAACTGTTATTATAATAGAATAGTTCTTCGCATAATAAAATAGGAAAGGAAAGGAAAGAAAAAGAAAGCAAGGAAAGAGAATCGAAGGCAAGAAAAAAGAAAGAAAGCCAAATCAGAAATATCAACTAAGAAAAGAGTAGAAATAACATTCAATAAAAGGGAATAGAACAATAGGTAAATGAGAAATGAAAGGTAAAGAAGGAAGGAGAATGAGAGAAAGATAAAGGAACTGGAATGAAAAGGAATCCTAATAAAATAGAGTCGGAACTTCATTTATTTTCATGAGAACTATCTTGGCGCCAAACCTTCCTTTCTATTATTGCTTTTGCTTGCCTTTTTTAATTGAACAATCTTAGGGGATGTGAGGATTTTCAGGCAGCCAAATAAATCGGCCATTCATCTTCGGTTTAAGAGCATTCAATTTGTAATTAAGTAATTAACTATCTTTTGTCAGCCTTCATCAATGCAAAAAAGAAAAAAGCAAAAACAAAATCATGCTAATGAAGTTAGTAAGGTTAATTCAATCAGATCTATTCAAGGGACATTTTTTCCCTTCTTCAGAAGAACAGGAATTAAAATAATCCAAGTCAACAAAAAAAATGTCCATAAAATGATGTTTACAATCTCTTTTGGTAGAGTAGTCGGAAGTATAAGAGACCGAGGCTGATATCCAATTGTGTTTTGTGTTTTTCGTTGTGACAAAACTAGATATTTAGTTTGGAAACTAGAAGCTCCGACAAACGAATTGTTATGTTTATAAAGCGGGAAGAAAATGAGAACGAAAAACGCGGTAAAAAGTGGAATTTGAAAAGAGGTGGGGAAATGTGGTATAGGCATTAAACAAAAATACTATTCACATTTGCATAAAAAAATATTCAACGATGGTTTCTTTCAAAGTCCTAACCTAACCTTGTCTGTCAACCATTTAGTGTAGACCATAATTGCCTGCCAAAGCACGGAATACTTCGATTCACCATGTACTGCATAGAAACATACATCTTTATCAAGAAGTAGAAATATAAGCTCCATATCTGTGATTGTGATTTGCTAAAGCAGTTCGGACATTGAGGTCGGTTATCAATCGCCTTTCGATTAGTAATATGCAGTTTTCCTATTAGTCTTTTTTGTTTTCCTTTAGTTTTAATTTGTACATCAGTGTGATTCAGACTGACATGCCCCAAGACACCAAAGTCCTTATAGAACATAGCTTAATTACACAAGATATAAGTTCACAAGATATTAACAGTGATGGTCACTTGTCAAGAACAACACTTGCACAGTATTGCCATGCAAACACTTCCAACTTACTTAACGGAAATATGTCTGGGATATATGTCTGTCGTCCGCAGGATTTCCCCTATCTCTAGCCTTTTCGCTTCGTTTCTTTAAATTCTTTTGTTTCATAATAATTCGCTGATAAGAATTTTTTTTCAAAAATATACATGCCGAACTCCTGCCTTTCTGAAGATGACACTTGTCGAAAACGTTCAAAATTTTTAAACAAACTTTTACTCTTGCCTATGTATATATGTGTATTTAAAAAAAATATGGATGATAATGATGATGGTTTTGGTAAAGGTTGTTAGGCTTAGGTGTTAAATTACAATTTTGATTATTGTAATAAAGGTTTGCGTAGTTTCCTGATCCTATTTCCATTCTTGATATATTTCAACTTGTAGTATATGTGTTTGAGCGTTATACAATAGTTTTACATGACTCACTAAATAGTATATTTATGGTCATTCCATTCATGCACGTACAGCATGTTGGGCTTTCGTTATGCAATCATGTCTACTCGTTGATTACATATAAGTTTATTCATCACTGAGGTATTGCAGCATAACGTACATGTGCTTGAACGTTATGTAATAGGCTGACTGGCTATATATACACGGTTTATGTACTTAAACGTTACACGTACAGTATTTATTAATGACTTTTCGTTGTGCAATTGTGTTTAATGATTGATGACATATATTCATGTTCATCCATCCAATTCTTGCTTCGACATTTCCGTCATTTACCTTTCGACTCCTAATGATGTCGAAATCTTAACGAAGGTGGAATGGCTTTTTTAAAAGCAGCATAAATCATGTTGTAAAGTAACTAAGGCAAATAGAGCTCCTTCAAAAATATTTAAAAAACCTACTCGAATTGCCCAATAAAATTGTGCTTGCAATGACCCATCATGTAATTTTGCCGCCAAACAGGGAACCCTTTCTAAGCACGGCATTAGCTATTTCGAGGTTGAGGGAAAATACTTGGACGAGTTGGCATTAAAGCGCACTGTGGGGACTATTTTAGAGGATACAATAGACGCCATCTTGAAGATATGTCCCTAAAACAATCTTCAATGCACTCCGATGCGAACGCGACCCAGTTTTGTCTTCAACTTCGGAATGGCTAATACGGGCCATGAGGATAGACCCCAGCCCCCATCTCCCCTCTCCCCCAAGTCACGGTTTAACTTATCGTGAGCGCTTGTAAACGAGGTTGCATGCGCAAAAGCTTATTCTTGTTCCGGCCAACTTTGGCTGCCACTAGAAACTGAGGGAGACATTTTATAATTTTATCAGTGTATTTCGCTTCTGACAGTAACTTAGTTATTCTTATTCCTTGGAATCCATCACCACTGGAGGTTGTAAACACAAGAAAACAAAATGAAAGATCGGTGTTTTTGTGTTATATTTTTATTTCTTCAACTGAGATAATGAGCAAATTTTGTCCCAATCGACTTTCGGTGGAGGGACATTCCTAAACCATCACACGAGCGTTTTTTTCTCTTTGACCTATACACTTCTTATTTTCTCTTTAGAACTTCATCTTCATGACAGTAGCCAATTTTGGCCCATTATCCTGCTCCATTGTCACTACAACCAGRAAGTTCTTCACAATCCTTGGATCTGTCTTACTGTTTGGTAACCTGTTAACGACGAGACAGTGGGTTGGAGTTGTCAGTGTCTTTGTTGGTCTTGGAGCTGACAGCATTTACGGAAAAACAAAAAAACATTAAAATATGGAAAGTCAGATATAGAGGATATTACATGGGCGCGCGGAGATACGAAATTAATCTTCGAGTGTTGAAAAGATCTCTCACAAGTGAGCGCAGCGAACGAGTGAGAGATTTTCAACACGAGAAGATAAATTTCGTATCTCCAAGCGCCCATGTAATATTCTGTTTATTATATAATTATCAATGAAAGTATGTTTTGGCTTTTTCAGGCAACTCTTTCCGTGTATTTTTGAATAGCCATCGCAATGGTGTTATTTTCACACGTGAAAATAACATGTTATTTTCACGTGTGAAGATATCAATTTTTCGAAATAGAGAAAAATAGATATTTCATTGGTAATTATATAAAAAGTCATTATTATTATATTTATTAAGATTATGTTTAGTCATTTGATCGAATGAAATATAAAAATGACAGTATTTTTTTGTTTATTTTCGTGTTTTTGTGCATGGTTACCCATGCCTACATATACGCCGGGCACTTCAAAGCAAGTTACAGTTCATGGAAAGTGTTATCCTGGTGTCACTACTGAGCTTCGTAACACTTGATTAGGGCCTCTTTGGTAACCCTAGCACTCTGGCTACCCTAATGCTCAGGGCTTCCCTTACTTCAATAAATGTGCTCTTATTTATTTTTACAAAAGCACTCGGGCTACCCTAGTGCTAGGGTTACCCTGTCTGTTGGATAGAGAGATTCTTGTAAATCCGAGCTATCTATTGACCCTAGCTGGCGGATTATTAACCTCTTGTAAAGCAGGCCTTAGAGAAAAAGAGATTGAGAAATGCGTTACTTCTTTTTGCGAGACGAGTTTTCTTGTTGCATAATGATGGTTTTCAATCATTCCCAAGAGAATGTAATAACAAAAGATACGGCGGCCATGTTGGAGGATATAACAAAAGAGACTTATGACGAATCTTTTGTTAAATTCCTCCAACATGGCGGCCATGAAAACCATCAATACCTAAACGTTGTGACAGTATTCGCGGCTCAAAATATACGTGGCCGGGAGAAAAATCGTCGAGCCTCTGGGACCAGGGTATAAATTGCTAAGTCCTCCAGTATTTTTTCTGATAGTAAGACAAGTTACCATAATGGCAGATACCAGAGTTACCCTATTTCTGTCAAACAACCGTTTCAAGTCGAGGGATTTGGGTTAATACCATGAAAGATGAGAAAGGAATAAAACTTAGGGTAATGACAAGTGGTCAAGATGTGACAATAGTGATTAGGTTTATTTTAAGATGTGTGGGAAACTTCAATTGTCATTGAAGATTTCTGGGTTTCCCACCTGAATACCTTGTACCACTAGAATGTAGAAACAACCCAAATGCTTACTTATGGGAACTTATCGTTCCCTTACATCAATACAAATCAAATGCCTGCAAATATTAGTCATAATTGAACTAACAATCTTGCAAGAAAAATTCTCGAAACATAGAATAAACATGAAATTTTACAAACTACTCTTTATTTTCTTTTCAACTTGTCTCGCAACGGCGCTGTGACTCAAGCGCAATTTGAAAAAATGTTGCGAGACAATAAGCTGCAAAAAGTAGAATTCGTTTCTTCTGCTTTTGGCAACCATTTCGTCTCCATTGCACCAGGTAAACACTCTTGCAACTTTTGTCGCAACGCTGTTGCGAGACAAGTTGCAGAGACAATTGCTCCGTGTAATCGCGCCTTTATGCGTGAATAGTGCCTGTATCCCATTTTCAGGCTCATGCAAATGTCTGACAAAATAGAAGTCAGGCGTTTGGACGTAATGGTTTCATTACAAGCATAAACGTAATTAAATCGTTTAAATTTGAATCTTTTCAACAAATATATGATCTCAAATACATTGGCATTGCAAGACCATTCCAAATGTTTTTCCAACTCTATACAGGGAAAAAGAAGAAATGAAAGAAAGGACGGAAGAAAAAACGTATATGCTAATTTAGTAATTAATAAAACTATGGCGTGTCACTGATCAGTGTCTCCTAATTAGTCACACCGCGGTATATTTTGAACAATCAACATGAAACAAAATAATGGCGATAACCGTCTGTTTGAGTCCACGGTTTTCATTCCTTGCGCGGATGTTTAGGCTTCATAACTGAATTCATTCTGTTCATTTTCCACTGCTGTGGCGGTAATCGGGTGTGCTATGCCCGCAATTTCTCATGCACGTCAGTAAGTACACAGGACGCCAAAGACAGCCCCAAGGGTGGGAATTTAGCCAATGAGGTATTCGACATTCACATTTTGATTAACGTCGGTTTAGTTATTGCATGGAAACAAAACTTGAACAAATTTTTTATTACGTTTGTATTACTTTCTGTTACACTTGTATGTAAAAATGTAATTTTCTTTGCAAGAGGCAGGTAAATGGAAGGTACGAATAAATGAGGCTGACAGAACACTGATCCGCTAGATTAAAGGGTACAGAGTTGTGTCTAATATCATGGTCTGTTTTTGCATTCCTAAATAAAGTAGCTCTAATTCCAGTTTTCTTCGGTTTGTTAAAAGAAAAGCGAAAAAAAAAAAATTTTTTTTAACGACAGTTTCCTAGAGTGTCCAAATGTGTATCTTCCAGCTTCGTCTAAAATTGATCATGGTCAGTGACCAAGGGAAGAAGACCAAAGTCTACACCATTAAGTGAGGAATCTGTCTTTGCCCATTAAATACAGATCTTTAGTCAGTCTCTGCCATTTCTTTTGGTTTGCGGTATTTACACTGAATCCAAATGCGGTACATCCGTAGCTGACGCCCGCGGTTAACTTGTAAGCGGCGGTCAACGTGATTTTGTTCTTCAACTAGCCCCGCTGAACTGAACATCCTTGACAAGTCATCTGCAATTCAGTAACAAAAATGGAGATTAAGAAATAAGAAATTGTCATTTCCACACGTCTTTGTGTCGGGCTTATAATTGAATTGACATTGCGAAATTCTGGACAGGGGAGGGAGATGGGGTTATCCTCAGTCTAGCCACCTCGGGGGGAAAAAAAGTCGMGAGGGAACTCGCAGCCACAGGGATCTCAGGGAGTGAGCTTCTGACATACAGACATAGTTTCATGCTTTTCAATGACAAATGTATTTCCTAAAATAATTCGTAAAAAAAGCCAGTCTATTAAAGAAACAGTTTAGATAAAATAAAACTTTTCTCACGAATGTTTCTAAAGCTAAATGTTTTTTTTTCTTCTTTCCATTATTTAAATATGAATATGTTAATATATAATACTTACAAAGAAGAAGGAATTATAAGATGAAAAACTGACTAATAAGGAAAATTGAAATATATATTAAATATATAACTATGTAT